GCCCTCGGGGCGGCCCCGCGGCCCCCTCGAAGCGCCAGGGCCCCCCGTCGGGGGGCCCTGGCGCTTCGAGGGGGCCGCGGGGCCGCCCCGAGGGCCCCCGCTCTGCCCCCCGCTCTGCCCCCGACCTTGTCCCGCTTCCCCGCAGGACGCGACTATGCGGCCCCCGCCGCCAAGGCGAGCGCGGCCACGGGCCGCATCGTGGCCGTCATCGGCGCCGTGGTGGACGTGCAGTTCGACGAGGGGCTGCCGCCCATCCTGAACGCGCTGGAGGTGCAGGGCCGCGACACGCGGCTGGTGCTGGAGGTGGCGCAGCACCTGGGTGAGCGGCGGGGGTCCTGGGGGGGGGTCCGAGGCTGCCCGGTGCACCGGGGGGCCGCCCCGAGGATGCCTGGTGCCTCCGAGGCTGTCCGGTGCCCCGGGCGGCTGCCCCGAGGATGCCTGGTGCCTCCGAGGCTGTCCGGTGCCCCGGGCGGCTGCTCCGAGGCTGTCCGGTGCCTCCGAGGCTGCCCGGTGCCCCGGGGGGCTGCTCCGAGGCTGTCCGGTGCCCCCGAGGCCGCCCGGTGCCCCGGGGGGCCGCCCCGAGGCCGCCCGGTGCCCCGGGGGGCTGCTCCGAGGCTGTCCGGTGCCTCCGAGGCTGCCCGGTGCCCCGGGGGGCTGCCCCGAGGATGCCCGGTGCCCCGGGGGGCCGCCCCGAGGCTGCCCGGTGCCTCCGAGGCTGCCCGGTGCCTCCGAGGCTGCCCGGTGCCCCGGGGGGCCGCTCCGAGGCTGTCCGGTGCCCCGGGGGGCTGCCCCAAGGCTCCCCGGTGCCCCGGGGGTCCGCCCCGAGGCTGCCCGGTGCCTCTGAGGCTGCCCGGTGCCCCGGGGGGCTGCCCCAAGGCTGCCCGGTGCCCTCGCGCGCCGGCTTGGAAGGTCGCGGTTGACGCCGCCCTTGTCGCCAGGGGAGAACACGGTGCGCACCATCGCCATGGACGGCACCGAGGGCCTGGTGAGGGGGCAGAAGGTGCTCGACTCCGGCGCGCCCATCCGCATCCCCGTCGGCCCCGAGACCTTGGGCAGGATCATGAACGTCATCGGGGAGCCCATTGACGAGAGGGGCCCCATCACAACCAAACAGTGAGCGGCGCGGGGGGCTCGCCGGCCGTGGGGGGGCCGGGCTGGAGGGTTGGGGGCTTCGTGGCCCCATGGGAGCAGCGGCTGCCGCACGGCCTGGGCTGCCGCCCTGCAGTCCAGGGTGCCCGAGGCCACGCTCTGGGCCTCCTTGCTGCACGTTGTGTCCTTGAAGAAGGGGACACTGTTCTGCTGGGCCCTTGGGTGCCTCCCACCCTGCGGAGGAGCCCGGCTCAGCCGCCTGTCTTGCGCTGCAGGTTTGCTGCCATCCATGCGGAAGCCCCCGAGTTTGTGGAGATGAGTGTGGAGCAGGAGATCCTGGTCACGGGCATCAAGGTGGTGGATCTGCTGGCCCCCTACGCCAAGGGTGGCAAAATCGGTGCGTTGGGGGCGGAGAGGCTGGGAGGGGAGCACAGGGTCCCGCTGCCGCCCCTGCCAGGGGCCTGGCGCCTGCCGGCGTTTCCTTCGCTGATGAGTGACCATTTGACTTTCGTTCTCCTGAGCTCGCTGAAGCAACCTGTGATTCTCTGAGGAGGAAATGGGGGCGGAGAAGACCCTGGGGCAGCGGGCTTGGCTGCGGCTCGACCGGGCTGCCCTTTCCCTTCCAGGCTTGTTCGGCGGTGCCGGTGTCGGCAAGACGGTGCTCATCATGGAGCTCATCAACAACGTGGCCAAAGCGCACGGCGGTTACTCGGTGTTCGCCGGCGTGGGCGAGCGGACCCGCGAAGGCAACGACTTGTACCACGAGATGATCGAGTCCGGGGTCATCAACCTGAAAGACGCCACTTCCAAGGTGCGCTGGGGCCTGCTCCCGGGCGGCCGCGTGCCCGGCCCCTCGCTCACGCTTGGCTCCTGCTGCGCAGGTCGCTCTGGTCTACGGGCAGATGAACGAGCCCCCAGGTGCCCGCGCCAGGGTGGCCCTGACCGGCTTGACGGTGGCCGAGTACTTCAGGGACCAGGAGGGTCAGGACGTGCTGCTCTTCATCGACAACATCTTCCGCTTCACGCAGGCCGGCTCCGAGGTGCGGCCTGGGCTCCCGCTGGGGGCTTCCTGCTGCTGCTGAGGGCAGGGGCAGCCCCATCCCCTTCAGGGGCTGAGGACCCCCCCTCACGGGGTCTGTGGCCCCCCCCAGGTGTCAGCCCTGCTGGGCCGAATCCCCTCTGCCGTGGGCTACCAGCCCACGCTGGCCACCGACATGGGCACCATGCAGGAGCGCATCACGACCACGCGCAAGGGCTCCATCACCTCCGTGCAGGTACTGGGGGGGCGCCTGGGCAAGGGGGGGGGGGGCGCAGAGCCACGGCGCCCGCCGACACCGTGCCCGCTGCCCAGGCCATCTACGTGCCCGCCGACGACCTGACGGACCCTGCCCCGGCCACCACCTTCGCCCACCTGGACGCCACGACGGTGCTGTCGCGCGCCATCGCCGAGCTGGGCATCTACCCGGCCGTGGACCCGCTCGACTCCACGTCCCGCATCATGGACCCCAACATCGTGGGGCCCGAGCACTACGACGTGGCGCGCGGCGTGCAGAAGATCTTGCAGGTGAGGTCCCGCGCCGTGGAGGGGGGGCCGCCCGGTGTCCCCCCGCTGCGGGCGCCGCTCACGGGCGCCGTGTCGTCGCCAGGACTACAAGTCCCTGCAGGACATCATCGCCATCCTGGGCATGGACGAGCTCTCCGAGGAGGACAAGCTGACGGTGGCCCGGGCGCGCAAGATCCAGCGCTTCCTGTCGCAGCCCTTCCAGGTGGCCGAGGTCTTCACGGGCCACATGGGCAAACTGGTGCCCTTGAAGGAGACCATCAAGGGCTTCAAGCAGATCCTGGCGGGTGAGCAGGGCGCCGCGCGGGGCGCTGTGCCCGGGGGGCGCGGGGGCGGCGCCGCTGACGCCGGGGTCTCCGCAGGGGAGTACGACCACCTGCCCGAACAGGCCTTCTACATGGTGGGGCCCATCGAGGAGGCCGTGGCCAAGGCGGAGAAGCTGGCGGAGGAGCACGCGTGACCCCCCCGCCCCCCCCCCACTATTTAACGTTTCCAATAAAACAGTGGCGAAAACGGGACCGGAGCCTCGTGTGTGTGTGTGTGTGAGGGGAGGGGGGACACGGCGGGGGCTGAGCGGCCCCCGGGGGCCCGGCCCCGTGCTGGGGGGTACGGGAGGGGGGCCGAGGCCCCCCGGGGCAGGGGGCGTGGCCGCAGGGGGCGTGGCCGCGGCGGGGCGGGCTCCTCCCCCCGGTTTGCCGCAGCACAAAGAGCCGTTTGCGGCCCCGCGGCCAGACGGGGCTTTGTCTGCGCGGGGGGGGCAGCGGGGCCGCCCCCCCCCCCGCTCCTTCGTGGGGCCGGGGGGGCGGCACCGTCAGGGAGCAGCGGGGGGGCTCCCCCAGGGGACCCCCCCAGGCCGCACTGCGCTGCTGCCCCTTTAAATGGCGGCGCCGCTGACATCAGCGCGGGGCTGCGGCGGCACCGGAGGCCCCGCCCCCCGCGCCGGACCCCTCCCCGCCCCTGCCCCCGGTACCGCCCCGCCCGGCGACCTCTGACGTCACCGGGGATCCCGGGGGGGCGATCCCGGACGCCTGGGCCCTTCCCGAGCGGCACGGTGCGGGGGGGGCGGCACCGGGGCGTCCCGGCTC